AAGGTGTTTTAAAAACAAAACTTTTTCACCCAATCCCGGAAGTTCTTTTGGTTTATTTCCCCAATGTTAAAATAATACAAAAAATGTAGAGTCAGCAAATAGAGTCAGCGCTTTTAACTAACTAGGGTTGGACATAACATATCGCATGGAAACTTTCTCATATCTTAGAATCATAATGATCGCAGATTTAAGTTTGACTTTACGGGTGAAGTATCCAAAAATCTTAAAATACGTTTTACTAATAACAACTCAAAATAAATTAAAAGCAAAAATCAAAATAAAAGACTTTCTAATCAGTGATGGACAGCAGGATCTTCCTGATAACAACTCAAAATAAAAAAGGGGAGGCGTATGTTCAGAAGGGCACTTTTATAAGCTGCAATTAATGTATGGAAGTTTCTAATCGAAATCGAAAGCTTATAAATAGTGGTTTCAAAGATATAATTAAAACATGGCAGAATTTTAAACCATATTTCGTCCTTAATTTTAAGCCCTTAAGGATAGAACTGTCAAAAATTATTTCTTAGTGGATGTCTACGTCATAATAGACAACTTTTCAAATTTCAGATTTCTACGCCCAGCTATTTGGATTGTGCGTCTTAATAATATATTTTTCATACAAACTTTGCACCCTCGTTAAGAACTTACGGGTTGATAGTCAATTCGAATTTTATTAATTTATATTCCAGAGTATATGCACAAATATTCAAACAAAAAAAACAACATTAAATAATTTTTCTACACACAAATTTGCACATCCTCTTGCCCTCCGTAAAGTTGTTTTGAAAAATCGTTAAATCAGAAATTGTTTTATTTTATTTACAGAGTACCTTTATTAATTTACATACACACTGTAACTTAAAAATCCCTTACGGGTAAAATTGTATATTTTACCCCCTAGTTTTTCATTTACTAAACTTTTTACTTCTAGCGGTTTGAGCTGTGCGTTGATAGGTGAGTATTTATACAAAGTATGGGTTTAGGTGAAAAATTGTGAATGAAGTGATTGGTGGTTAATCCAGGATTCCATTAGTTGCCTTTTAAACATGCTAGGCTAATAACTCAGTTGGCAACATACTATTTTGCTGTATGTCAAATGTAAACATGGCATTCAGATTAAGTTGGAATGCTTCATTATTAGTAGAAAGGCACCTAAATGCCAGTGAATAGCAGCGTAAAATGGTGTGCGAACCGGAGATCATTTTTATTGTAAACGCGGCATTTCATCTTAGTCCTCAGGGGTGTTAACGCATTTTGCTTCTTAATCGAGGATAAATGTAGATGTCTACGGGCCTCAGCATCCACTTAGCATCAAGTGGACTGTGTGCTTGTTTGTCACCCTTATTTTAGAAAATAAACCATACCAAACACAATAGCATTATGTGACCCGCTTTTTATGTTGGGTAAGTCAATGGAGGTTACCCTATCGCTTTAAATATATAGGCACGCGGCATTTTGCGTTTCAAGTTAGCTATTTTAATTGGCTGCAGCAACCACGTTCCCAACTTCCCGGCGGCGCCGGCGCGCGGGTTAATCGTCGCCAGTGAACTCGTAACGAATTACGATCGTTACGAGTTCAGTGGCGTACGACGAATCGAAATTTGAAGAAAAAATCAGGTACAATTTTTCGTAACATTAAAACTGTGCGCCTCACAAATGTAACTAACAGAATTTAATATTATTTTTGAAGTTAGACCTTAGATAATTAATTCCGTATTGATTTAAAGCTGCCTCATCGACCGTCGATCAAGAGTCATTTAAGCAGATTTAAAAAAAGAGTAAGTTTACAATACGACTGGATTTTTATTTTTGTATGAGTATTACGCGATATCTTCTTCGATTGTGGACCGATTTTAATAAAGTACAACAAATTTTTAATAAATGGGTTATAATCTATATTTTTAATAAATAATGCTTCAGGCGTGGTCCTATGAATTTAAAATTCTACCCCGTTCAAATTTTCAAATTAGGAGATAACGTAAATGTAAATCTAATAAGACTTTTTAGACAATATTGGTTTTGTGATTTTCCTTAGTTAACTCACAAGAGAGTGGATAAATAAACTTTTAATGAAAAGTAAAAGCTCACTTCAAAGAACTAAAAGGAACAAAATAATTTTATATTCTGAAGTCAAAGCCCCGACTTTTTTTATTAGCGCCGATATCAGAATGTTAAATTATTTTATACTTTTTAACTTTTTGCAACGATTCTAAGCATGAAGTTGATATAATAATTTGATATTGAGATAGTGGTATATTAATATTGCAAAACACCTAATAGTCACTAGCTCACTCATAAAAACCTTCTTACTTTTTAAAACGTACATATATATAATAACCCCTTGTACAAAAACACTAGCTGTAAATTTCCAAACAAAAAGTCACATCGTTCCACCCCCTTACCCCTCCCCCGTAACAATACTCGCAAAGAAATATTGTGTACGATATAAGTTACTAGCATCTTACTATATATATATGTGTGTGTTTATTAGCCTTAAAAAAAAAAAAGAAACAGCGGCCACCTAGGCCCAAACCCCAAACCAAAGAAAGGTTAGGTCGAAAAAACCCGCGGAATACACAAGAGGGAAAAAAAAAAAAAGCGGGGTTTAGGCACACCCCCCCCCCCCCCCCAAAAAAAAAAAAAAAAAAAAAACCCACCCACACAAAAACCACAGAAAGCAGGCCACAAAAACAACAAACTTCCTCGAGCGTTTTAATAATTTTTTTAAATTAAACTAAACTGAATTATTACAAAATGAACGCACAGACCTAGACTAGGCTGTAATGAATCTAATGAGACCAAGATTGTCTCATTTCGTAAAGGTTTAGGAGGTGAAAACGTTATCGCCCGAAACAATATTTCCAAGAGGAGATGTAGGCAATGGCCTCCAAGACTTGCAACTCTCTACTCACACCGCGTATCGGCACTTCATAATCCTCTTAAACAACTTTTTAAAATACCACAGAGTACGGAATAGCCACAATGCCGTGTTGCTGGTAAGCCTGCTTAAATTCCAATTGTAATACTGGCACTCGTATGGCTAAATGATTGCGAGACTTCGCACTTAAGCATCGATCTTTATAACAAGCGATCCGTTCCGGGTTCGCACGGATGTTTTCAGTATATCGACAATTCAATCGCGAATCTAAACCATTCAGGGATCCACTCAAAGAAACACACAAACATTTCATCAAAATCTGTCGAGCCAGTTTCAAGTTTTTTCAAGACTAACTCACGGCAATTGATTTTTATAATATATTTAATTAGGATTATAGGAAGAAAATATTTCCCTTCTGAAGATATAACTGCGTAAATCGCATTAAGGTTTATTTTCAATAAGAGAGATAGATATCCCGTTTTCTTTTTATCTTGAACAACCGGACAAATAAGCACGGCCGGCTGAAGAAAGATAAATGAATAAGTAATTACTGTGTCTATGTGTTCTGATGAGAGAGTACCCAGAATTCATTATATCCTCTCTCGATGTGATAAACAACTTTGATGTTCATTCGACCTTATTATTATAGTGAAGTTTCAGGGTTGCCAATTTGTATATGCTTATTTTGTAGCATATGCGATGAAAAGTATTTATTATCCGAGATACGAAGACTAAGTATTAAAATACATTATTCATATGTTATACAAAGTTGCATTCTGCATCAGTATTATATGAATCAACACTTATTACTTTTTTTTTATAGGATAGGGTGACAAACGAGCACACAGTCCACCTGATGGTAAGTGGTTGCTGTGGCCCATAGACATCTACATCTATCCTCGATTACGAATCAAAATGCAGATGCGTTGTCACCCGTGAGGACTAAGATGGAATGCCTCGTTTCCAGTAAAATGGGTCTCCGGTTCTCTACACTCACCATACGAAATACAGCAGCATTAAGCTACTATTTCACGCTAGTATTCTGTGAGAGCGTGGTCCTTCCCCAGTCGAGCCGACCCATTCGTTCTACAACTATACTACTAATATAACTGCAGCATGGCTCTACCACGTATAAAACTACTAACTTTACTTGTTTGTTTATTCCTTACGAAGGTCTATAAATTATGTTTTTTACTAAAAACTATTATTAAAGTAACTCATATTATCCCTCGGGTATTTACAAACACACCATATACAAATTATTACTATTTCTGTGGTGGCAACTATCGCAAATTCGTCCTATGGGCCAATCTATGCACAAGGCCTACGTTCAGCAGTGAACTTTTGATAGTCTTTAGACATTTTATAGAATAAGAGTTGGAAACAAGCATACAGTCTACCTGATGGTAAGTGGATGCTGTGGCTCATAGATATCTACAAAATGAAGATGCGTTGTCACCCCTGAGGACTAAGGTGAAATGCCTCGTTTTCAGTAAAAGGGGTCTTCGGTTCTCCACTATCACCAAACGAAAAACAGCTGCATTAAGCTGCTATTTTACGCTGGTATTCTGTGAGTACATGTTCCTACCCCGGTCGAGCCGATCCATTCGTGCTGCAACCATAATACAGCTGCAGCTTGGCCCTAAAATGTACAAAGTGTCAGTGTGGTTTCATATGAATAATATTTAAATCTGGGACATGACCCTATACTGCTAGTCGTTTGGGGAAGTTCGAAGTCGCGTAACGGGCTAAGGCTGTTATGAAGAGGGTTCAGAGTTTCTCAGGCGTGATATACTTCTTAATGTGGATATCTACAGTAGAACCAAAGTAAACGAAAACTTTGTAATTATTATATGGTGACATAATTATACCGACACATAATTGTCACTTCAATAAATTATTTGTTACTTGAATAAATTATGTCCATATCTTTGATCCATACTGCCAAACGAGCATAATATGTTGTATTAGATATCTGTGTTTTATATAGTGCAAATAAAAGTGTAAATTTAACAATTTAAAAATTACAGTTGTATTTTGATTTTGGACCACTAAGCTAGGAGCGAGAATTTGAAGTAGAAGGATGTTTGATCATTAGGCCAAATGTACTCTGGAAGAAACCATGCTAGAAAATAGGGTGGGTAGTCAATGCAGTTATAACAGCTCTGAAAACACGTATAAATTCTATAATCCTCTCAAAATTTGAAATCGATATCGGTGACATCTTCGTGCAAAAAGATGAATCTCTCAATGAGATACAATTTTTTCTGGCACCAGGGCAACTTCACTTTGGAATGTGGTAGGTAAGTAAAATTATTAGGAAGTATAATGTAAAATTTTGAAATATTAGTGTTTTTTTTTATATTTGTTGTTGGTTATAATGGATAAACCACACCACGGACATAACTAAATGAATGTAATAATGTGCAAAAATATTGAAGAGCAATGACTGGGGCATTGTTTTGTATATATGCACTAGAAACCGAAAACCTTTTATTTGAAACCATTGATATATCTACTGAAAACTCAAGATAGGTGCACACTCAGCGTGTCAATAACATCCTCATAAAATGAACGTATAATTTCAAATTGTGCGTTCATTTCAAATAGCATAACGTCGCGTCGCTCATATCACTGGACGCACGATAAAAATGGGGAAGTGTTCCTTAAAACGTTTTTAAGAAAAATTCGTTTTTGTATACTTATCAATGTTTGAAACAAAATTTTTCGCTTAGGGTCTCTCTCTTACAAATAATTTTACTTTACTCGCAAGTTGCGACATCTAGTGAGCGGTAAGTTATTAGCCCTCATTGTGTAAAATTAATTAAAAAGAGAATAACATTTTGATAATTGTAATAAAACAAGCTAAGTGATATTGGTATATTGTATCTTTGTCCTACGTTCTTGCTATACATACTAAGCTAAGTTAGCTGTGCTATATATATATTTATTTTATTATAATTAATTTTAATATCATGCACATATTAGCGACATCTTTCCTTTTGGCAATATAACTATTACGTAGTAAAGAGCTAAGCGCCCTCTATGAACCATTATAAATATAAAATCCTACTTAATTTTGGTTAGTGTCGACAGATGGCACGAATACGTTTAATTTGAAGGTATCATGTTCAGAAACACATTTGGACAATAATTATAAATATCTTATAAAAAATAAATACATTGATTTAATTTGGGTCTTAATAAGTAATAAATAAAGAAGTTTATTTTAAAATTTAGAACATTTTTCATTAAAAACTAGTATTCAAGATATTTAGTTACTTCAAATCAGTTTTAGGAACGTTACCTATATTTTGACAGCTGATTAAAGTGCAACAAAATAAGGTTTGTTTTTGCTTTTTGTAGAATATTTCTTGATATTAATATTTTAACTGTTTATAGTAGGTATATAAATATATTAAACATAAAAGTATATCTATCCATCTCAGAGCTATCAGCAACAATGAACCCGAGCAGAATTCTTCTCCACCCGCGTATTTATGTCGACCATGCTCAACAATCAAACAATATGTGCTATATGCATTCTGATACAGGCCATACTGACACTAGTATCGGCGATCAACTTGAGAGTATCTCCCAGAATTCCTACCAGCTCATTTTACAGTCGCGCTCATGTAATGATTGAATCCGAGGAAAGTCAGGGCACCTAGGATGAGGAAGATTAAAGACGTTAAGCATCATTGGAGATGATTTGACTAATCAACCACCTGATGGTAAGTGCATGCTGTGGCCATGAAGATCTACATGATAAATGTATCATCATCGTCTCAATTAAGGTTTAAATTGTAGATGCGTAGAACTGAGAACTAAGATAGAATGCCTCGTTTCCTGTAAAAAGGGTCTCCGGTTCTCAGTTAAAGTCACCATATGAAAACACAGCACCGTCAAACCGCTATTTTACGCTGGTATTCTGTATACTACTATATGTGATTGATTATAAAATTTATCTGACTTTTCTCAAACTTGTGTTGTGTTATATCAATAAATTTGCCTATACACCTATACCATTATTTTAAATTATTTGATTACTGAAGATAAATAAGTTTACTTTCAAAATATTCAAATTACTTACCGATTTGACCATCCTTCAAGAGAGCTGCTTCTATATTCGGACTTGCACATTTTGTTATGGACATCATTTATTTTACTTTTTAATTTAACACCCAATTTCTTTGGACTGTTTGATACTTTAATGTTTGACATTACGTTATTATAATAGTTAGGTCAGTGCTTTACATTGTATAATCTTAAACATAAAACATTATATTTTTTTTTAGGTGCACAATGGAAGTAACCGACTGCCATGTTTCTGAAACTGATAGTGAATTCGCCTTTGAGACTGACCATTTGGCACTAAGAGGAAATGAAGATTATTGCAAACTATTGAAGTACATTGTTAGATTAGAGGCAATTAAAATGATGGCTTTAAAAGATATTGAGAATTTATCTGAAGCACAAAAGAAAGCGATGGAAGACCCATTGCAGTTTGTGCAAGACTTAAAAGATGATAAAGTTAAATTTCCTCCAAGACATAAAGTTCCTGACTTACCTAAAATTGACTGGAATAAATACGGTATAGATATATCATTGGATTGTGAGGATTCAACTCTTGTTAAAGAAGATAATGATGCCACCACAAAAGTAAGAGGTAGAAAGTTCACTGATAATAAACCTGAGACATTTAATCAACTTTGGTCATGTGAGGAGCAAAAACGACTTGAAGAGTTACTAGAAATATATCCAGAGGAGCCGATTGAGGCAAGGAGATATAAGAAAATAGCACAAGCTTTAGGAACTAGAACACCTTTACAGGTTATGAGTAGAATACAGAAGTACTTTGCAAAATTAGCTAAAGCTGGCTTACCCATACCTGGTAGAGCACCAAAGAGGATAATGAAGGATAAAAATCAGTCCATTTTCTATAAAAAGTCAACATTTTTCCCTCAGCTTCATGTGCCTGTGAAAATGGAAGACCCAATGGATAGTACTGAGGTGTATGATGGGGCTTCTACAGTGGATACAAAAAGTGGTACCAAGTATATGTTAGAGTTATTAAAAGCTGCAAAGGAGCAGCGAGTACTAGATGAAACTTCACCCGTATATCAAACTAATACTATGTGTGTTGGATGTCAAAAAACAGGATTTTTGGGTGCAAGGTGGACAGATAATGCTGGTACCGATTATTGCACGGATTGCATTGTGAAGCTTTTGCCGGCAGAAAAACTAATACCTGTTAGAATGGTTTTGTAATATTATTAAATAAATTTATTTTCAAATCTTTCCTTTTATTTATTTATTTTAAAAACTAATGACTTAAAAGTTTAATCAATTAACTTTAGAGGAGTTTATATTTTTTTAAATTTTAATAGGGTTTGTAATGGATAAATCAAAACATAATAAAAATAGAATCAACATAACAATATTTCTGTAATATATTGTGTATTACTGAAACATGTATGAATGCATTATTCCTTTATTCTAGATATAACTCATATTTATAGTTTTAAATTCTTTAATATTATATTGTTGCATGATTTTTAATTAAAATTATCAAGACACAATAATTTATGCTGGTATCATTCAACTGATATATAATTTAATTTAAAATTGTTATAAATATTAAATAAATTACAAAAATCTGAGAATTTCACATACACATAAGAGTCAACACTGAAATCACACTGCAACACTAAATAATTAATAACGGTTTAATTTCATAAATTAATTATTGTTCAAATTTGACAGATAGGTAATTTAAAAGTTTTAAAATTTATTATGCACTGCATGCAAAGAACAGAATATATTTTCCTGCAAAAATATCGTGAAATCAGCCTGAAATATGCCAGCTTTCAGGCGGCGCGGCGGTCTCGTAATAGTGCGGCAACCGCTGTCGTAGCGACTGATGAAGAATCACTGATCTGGAACAGTGAACACGTCCCGCACCTAACTAGTGCACTGCCCTGTATAGCTAAGCTATCTATAATATTTAAATAAAACAGGTTTTTACGGACTTTATCACGTATATTAACTTATTTTAGATTTCCGACCTTTTGAGCACTTTACAGCACCCATGGTCACGGGGAGGACGGAGGTGTTCAGCGTCTCAATGTCGTAGTTAACCACGGTTACCTCCAGATTCTCCTTTCGTGTAAAGAATCGGTGTTCTTAAGCGAGCATTTGTGGTCTATCAAATCTGATGTAGTGGCGGGGGCGATCCTGTACGTGTTCACAGACTGCAGACTTCCCGGAGCGTCGATTTAATTTGTCCAATGTATCTAAGATAGTACACATTCACAATCAAGCTTGTAAAAGTAAAAAAAAAGTAAAGTTACAGCCTATATACGTCCCCGCCCCCCTCATCTGAGGGGGAAGTTTGTACACTCCTGTATTTTGCAGAGGGATATTTATACACTTATATATATACACTTTACTGATGATATAAACTGATCTACTGACTGACTAATCTTCTTCGGTGGCTTGAAGTTGTTTTAAAGCGAGCACGCTTTAAGATGAATATATATTATTATTTACATCGCGCTCGAAGGTAAGGGAAAACATTATGAGAAAACCTGCATGTCTGAGTAATTAAAAAAAAAATATATTTCGAAGACTTGAAATCTGCAAATACGCATTGAGACAGCGCAGTGTACACTACCTGACCCCTAAATCGCTTCAGAAATGGGACAAGCCCTGGCCCAAGAATGGGGCGTTGGGGCATATATAGACTAACTAAAGACTTGAGAAGTCATATTCTTGCATTATTTTATGTTTATTTTAAGTACATCACAAAAGCTTCCCCGCGTAACCTATTTCCCTATCTTCAATAGGTCCTAGGCAAACTATCGATGGCAAATCTTACAGTCGTTATAATTGAATACATGTATGATTTTATCGCATGTAATAATTAATACTTATTTGAAATTCTAGACGGCTTGAGTGCTTTGCAGTAGGCATGGTAACTGAGGGGGGGGGGGAGGGAACCCCGTGTTTGATATCCTAATGGTACGTCCTTCTACAGTGTACGTCTTGAAGACTTACTCGGAAATTTGTGCCCTTTTGTGAGTATTTGTGGTCTATCAAATCTGATGTAATGCTGAGGATGTTCGAGTTTGTTTCGATCCTTAATGTCAGTTACATGTTGCTACGTAGGGTGCTACGTGTTCTTTTACGTAGGGTTTTAATGATCTTTTAGTTTATTATTTGTATGAGATGCCAAATTAATAATAATAATAATAACTTCTCCGCCGCCTGGAAAGACTACAGAAAGGCATTTGACTCGGTGCCCCATACATAGCTAAAGAGGGTCCTCGAGCTGTACAAGATTGACTGTACAGTTCGAGACTTCCTCGAGCAGTGTATGGGGCAGTGGAGTACGATCCTCTGTCATCTAGGCGAGCGGATGACGGCTGCGGAAAGCCGCATAAGGATAAGAAGGGGTACATTCCAGGGCGACTGTTGAGTCCAATCTGGTTCTTCCTCTCTTTGAACCCTCTCAGTACTTTACTGGAGGACTTCGGGAGGGGATTTTAGCTTCGGAAAGAAGGTACAAAAGTGACCCACCTTTTCTATATGGATGACCTCAATTTATTCGCTTCCAGTCGCTCCCATCTTATGGAATTGCTAAACATCACTTGTGAATTTAGCAATTCTATTAGAATGGAGCTGGGGACGGATAAGTGTGCGGTCCTCCATATTGAAAGGGGAAGGGTTGCTAAATCTGAGGGCATAGACTTATCTATGCCTGCCAACTTAAGGACCCTTTCCGAGGCTGAAACATACCGTTACCAGTGTATGTCACAGAACATCGGTATCGATGACGCTGGTATGAAACAGTCAGTTTGCGGCGTGTTTTATGCACGCTTAACCAAAGTGCTTAACAGCCTTTTATCCGGTGTGAATAGGACACACGCATATAACGGCTGGGTCATGCCTGTCCTCATGTATACCTTTGGCATACTCAGGTGGAGTCAGACTGAACTAAACGCCCTGGATAGAAAAGTCCGCACTACCATAACGTCCCGTAGGATGCATCATCCGAGATCGTCGGTAATGAGGCTGTACTTGCCACGAAAGCATGGTGGGCGTGGCTTCTTGAGCGCGCTCACCATGCATAATCGCGAAGTGTGCAGCCTCCGTGATTACTTCCTGGAGAGAGCGGATGATCCATTCTATAATGACGTCATTTCTAGTGATAAAGGACTTACCCCTCTATCCTTAGCCAACGAGCAATGGCAGGACCCGGCAGTACAGAGCATTTCCGACCGGGAGACCGTATGGAAGGAGAAGGAGCTCCACGGGAGGTACTACAGGGCTCTACATGAGCCCCACGTAGATACAGCCGCCTCCCTCAACTGGCTACGTTTCGGTGACCTCTTCGGGGAAACCGAGGGTTTTGTCAGTGCAATACAGGATCAGGTTATTAAGACCAACAACTATCGGAGATACATCCTAAAGGATGGCACTGTCGACGTCTGTCGAGCTCGTCGCCATCTCGGGGAGTCACTTAGGCATGTCATCTCCGGTTGTTCGGCGCTTTCTAACTCTGAGTACTTGCACAGGCACAACCTAGTAGCCAGAATTTTTCACCAGGAGCTCGCTCTGAAATACGGTCTCGTGGACCGGAAATTGCCGTATTACAAGTACTTGCCGGAAGCCGTGCTCGAAAATGACCGCGCCAGGCTCTACTGGGACCGGGCCATCATCACGGACAGGACTATTCTTACGAATAAGCCTGATATTGTGCTGATGGACCGGGCACAGTCAAGAATATTTTTGGTCGACATTACCATTCCGTATGACGAGAACCTCGTGAAAGCCGAAACAGATAAACGAACAAAATATCTGGACCTGGCTCACGAGGTGACCGACATGTGGGGTGGTATGCCGGCCGAAATTATTCCTGTAGTCGTCTCTGCGAATGGGCTAATCCCAGTCAGCCTCTCGGGTCATCTGAGGCGACTGGGAACTCCGTGACGGACCGCTCCAGGCTCAAATGCAGAAGGCGGTGCTCCTCGATACCGCCCGCATCGTCCGCCGGTTTCTTTCCCTTTTCCTCCTAACCCTCGGCCGTTTGGTCTCCCCTGTCGAAGGGCTTCCATCTGGTTGGGCTTTTATTTATTTATGTATATTTGTATTTATTTTATTTTAATTATATATACCTATGTATATTTATCTTTTCATTTTAATTTATAATTATATATTTATAGAACCCAACCAGATGAGAAAACTATATAGATACCCCACATATAATAATAATAATAATCTTTATTAGCAAGAATATGGTTGTACAATGGTGTTCGAGGAGTATAATTTGTTCTACATATTCTACCTCAGTAGTGTGCAAATATTAATAGTCAAGTACTCATAAATTATACAACAACACTATCAATTTTAACAGTTGATGATGATTAATTAATTATGCAACAGTGTCAGAAAAATAAATTTCCAATAAGATGTATAAGTATTATTATAACTCAATGTCAAATATTAATGTTCTTATGTCAGTAAATATAATGTCAATTATAAATGTTACATATCTAATTGTCATTAACTTATTTCAATATTTATATCAAATTTATTAATTAAACAAATAAAAATTTTATTTTATAAGAATTCCATAATTCAAACATTATTTTAAACATTGTGTCAAATTCTTAAATGTATCGTCTACTTATGTGAAAAGAAGTCTATAATTGAGTAAAAAGATTGCTGGAGAGCCATTTTTTTAGGTGAGTTTTCATTCTCATTGTTTGTAACTCTCTAATCGCTTTAGGTATCTTATTAAAAACTTTTATACACATTACGCAACAATTTTAATGAAACAAAGCCGTCCTGCAGGCAGGCATTAACAATTTAGTTCACAATCAAACTTGCATACTCCTGTATCTTGTAGATGGATCTTAGATTTGACCATAGATTTAGTATAAATTAACGTTAGAACTTAGAATTGACGGATTGTAAAAATTGACTAAATATTTTCGGCACTCTGTGGTATGTTCTTATGGAAACTTATTTCAAAATGTAGCCAATCTCGTCTGACATACGGTAGTAGCCTCACTCGATCACTGTAACGTAGACACGGGACCCGAAGCTTGCTGCCGTCGTGCAATACTTGGTTGACGTACTAGAGTTCGTCGGACAGGTGTTTACTGTTACTGATCTCTTGCGCTTGCAAAAACAAAGATTTTCCTATGACAGCAAACTGTGATGGATGGTAGTGAGATTCGCCGATTCTATATCGGTTAATATTG